CTTCCTTCGTTGTGACGTGTTACGGTCGCTAACCCAGCTGCTGCCGCTGCTTTTGTTGTCGTCGTCGCCATTGTGTTTTCTGATTTGTAGGAAGAAGATGACTCCTGAGGAGCGTAAGGCCAAGACTGAAGAGGAGCGAAAGAAGAAACAGTAGGTGTCTGCCCTGCTTTATCACTCTACAATGCATGTACATATGGTGTGTGTGTGTATGTGTGTGTGTGTACGTGTGTGTGTGTACGTGTGTGTGTGTGTCTGTGTGTGCTCGCGTGTGTGTTTATATGTGTGCTCGCGGGCTCGGTGGCTCTGTGGTTGTCGCTCTTTCAGTGTTCTGCCCGTCTGGCTGCATCTCTCTCTCTCTCCTCCTATCTCCGTGCACAGGGAGGAAAGGCGTTTATTGAAGGTTCAGCAGCGCCTGATTGAGAAGGAATCTAACAGGGTTAGTTTGATTTTGAATCCTTTTATTCTCACAATGGCACCATCGGCAATAAGTTAGTTTGCATACCTTTGATATTGACATGCAAAGCACGACTCCACGACATGGAGATAGAAATCGAATACCGTGTTTTTCAGAGTATAAGCCGCACCCAGATTTGTTTTGTCACGAAATCCAGACATCTACCTTGTTTATCACCGTTGATTTGAATAGAAATAATTATCAAATAAGTAGAATGAACGTGTGGTGCTTATGGCACGTTCCGTCATAATGGTTGTGGATTACAACACAACTCGAACCCTCAACCAGTCAACGTGACTGTGCCTGTGGTGTGTCTTCTCTATGTTTGTATCTTGTAAGGTCAGCACAGGGCTTGAAAACTCTAATTACCTAAAAAATTCCCATCTTTTTGTCTTGAAAAATCCTTAGAATCGATTTCCGCTGGTCAACGTGACTGTGGTGCTTTTGTTTCTGCCTTGCTAGGTGCGTGAGGACGACGAGATTGAGCACGCCAAGCCGCTTCCGGACCTTGAGGCGGTCAGCCTACCCGCCGGCCTCTGCAACGAGTCGTTTGGCGACCTGGCGATGGTGGTGGAGTTTCTGCACGTGTTCCAGCAGGTTCTGGCACCGCAGGCCACCGCACCCATCGCAAGCGCCGGTAGGTGTCTGGACCTCAGGGGTGTAGGTGGTCCCCCTTTTAGGGGGAGGGGGGTGCACGCACCCCTTTTAAGGGGTGCACGGCCGCATATGTGTAGGATGGCTGGTGCATGTCATTTCACGGTCATTATGTGCATGCTGAACCTAGGTCGACATTTTTTTGGGGGGGAAGGGGGTGCACATGTCCCCCGTATTTTGCACTCCGCAGGTCATTAGGACCGGTTCTTTTATTCTTCCTGTTTCTTTGTCTTCCAAGAGATTTGTCTCACCACATGAACTTTTGTCTCAATTTCTTTTTAAGGCAATAAGCAGAATCAGCGAAGCGGACATTGGACGTAGTCATGAACAAAAATAAAAGATGGATAAAAAAAGTTGGATAAAAAGTTTCCGAACACGTTTTCTAGAGACATTCATCAGGGAAAATACGTCTCAATAGTACTGAAATCTAGGAATGAACAACAGTATATACGTGGAAGAGTACGAAATGCAGTATGTGAAAGAAAATAGGAGAAATAGAAGGTGAAGTGTGAAACTAGTAACAGAGGTGGGGAGGTGAGAAATAATAACAATGTGAGACTCAGAGACGGTGAAGTGTAAGGAGTACGCGCATGCCAACTTTTTTTATCCATCTTTTATTTTTGTTCATGACAACGTCCAATGTCCGCTTCGCTGATTCTGCTTATTGCCTTATGAAAGTTATTGTCTCCGTGCCGCTTATTCAATTTCTTTTTGTTGGTGTTGTTGCTGCTACTGCTGCTGTTGCTGCTGCTGCTGCTGTTGGTGGTGGTGGTGGTGGTGGTGGTGCTGCTGCTGCTGCTGCTACTGCTGCTGATGATGATTGTGTTGTTGCTGTTGCTGCTGCTGCTGCTGCTGCTATTGGCGGTGATGGTGCTGATGCTTCTGCTACTGGTGGTGTTGCAGGCTCTCTTGCGCAAGCACTCGTGAAGGGCTCCAAGGGAATGGATATGCTATCTGGTGTTCTCATGTCATTGCTGAAGATTGTGTCGGCCGACCAGGTATGCATGCCTGCGTGCGCGCGCGCGCGTGTGTGTGTGTGTGTGGTACATTGTGTGTGGTACATGGTGTGTGTGTATGTATGTATGTGTGTATGTATGTGTGAGTGAGTGCGTGCGTGCCAGGGCAGACATGGCCTGCCTTATTTCTCAATGTACTTAGCCCTGCTCCTTTGGTGGCAAACGGTCGCCACATTCTCTTACATATGAGGCCCCCATCTCAATCTGGTATGAGTGTCGCTGTGGCGGGGGGCTGTCGTGTTTGTGTGTATACTAATAAGTATGTACATGAGAGAGACAGACAGACAGATAGAGAGACAGATAGAGAAACAGAGAGGATGCATTCGACTTCTCGAGTTTGTGCTTGTGCGTGCAATTTCCGCAGGGTAACCGCAAGGAGCTGGGCCTCAAAGTGTCCGCCATGCCACTGATGCCGGAGACAGCACCGGAACTCACCCGTCTTCTGCTCCTACCCTCGCAACTGCTAGCCACCAACGCCCCGACGGCCGGTGGCAAGAATACAGCAGCAGCAGCATCCTCCGCCCCCGCTTCCACATCACCGGAGCAGACAACCACTGGGGACGAGACTCCGGACGCCGTTGACGACGGTGCAGTGAAAAGCGAAGACGGCGGCGAAGAGGAAATGGACACGGATGAGCCAAGTATTGCCACTGCCTCCGCTGATGCCAGCGCCGCACCAGCGTCGTCATCGGCACAGGACGAGAAGACGCAGCAGAAGGAGAAGGAAGGCGCTGAGGAGAGCGACGACTCTGAGGAAGAGGATTTCGAGGACGAGGATCTCACGCCGCAGGTTAGTTGCATGATGCTTTCCCGCCCTCATCGCACACCTCTTAGTTGCCTTTCGCCTTTCCACCGCTATTGCATGCGTCTTAGTTGCACGAGTTGCCTGGTGCTTTCCCGCCCTCATCGCGTACATCTTAGTTGCCTTGCGCCTTTTCACCCCCATTGCATGCGTCTTAGTTGCACGGCACAATTCTCCTCCGGTGACGTTAATTTCTTGTTGTTCCTTTCCTGTTTGTGTTTTCGTGCCGCCACACAGCTTGTTGATATTCTTGTACGTCTTGCCCACACCGACTTCCAGGACCTGGAGCCCACCGATAAGCTACGGGTAGGCTGCTTTGGATCACTGCTGTGTGTGTGCGTGCGTGCGCACGTGTGCCCATCGAATCCCAGCACAAGTTACTATGTCTTCTGTTGTAGCATCTCTATCATTGCCTCTGGCGATGGGCGTCAAAAAGGTCAAGGTCAAAGGCGTGCGCGTCTGTGCGTGTGTCCTGAATTGCCAAAATTGCAGAAGCTCCTCGGTGAACCAGTGCCAATCTAGCCACGTCAAGGCGTAGGGTGGGAGGTTTGAACGCAATTTCATTATTTCATATCTCCAAGTTCTCTTGCAGACTATTGGACTTTGGTACACAGCTCTTGCAATATGATGGTGATGTGTGTGTGTGTGTGTGTGTGTGTGTTTGTGCGTGTGCGCGTGTGCGTGTGTGTACACACGTGGGTGTGCGTGCGATGTTATTTGTTTACTCTTGTATGTAGCTATTGGTGGCTCTTTGCGGCCGTGTGTTGAGCACAACAGCCATTCAGGATTTCCAGGTGGAGAAGAGAGATGACATGCGACAATTGTGGTGAGTGCACTCCTTTATTCTTATCAACAACCATGTCTCTCCCCCCACCCACCGCCCCACACACCCACAAACACCTGTTGTGCTCGCCAGATTGGGCTGGTTTTCGGGAATCGATTTCCCCTGCTAAAACTACCCGCGTTTATACAGTACTCCTGTAAACCGTGAAATTATTGCGATGGTCTAATTTCTGCGAAATTCACGACCGCGTGGAAATCGCGAAATTTAGACAGCGCGAAAAGGAGATCCATGGAAGGTGTAGCATGAATGCCACAGTGGCAAATTCTGCAATCGCAAAATTAAAACCTCGCAAACCTGTCCGGATTCCGAAAATGCGAACTAAAAACGCCGCGAAAATTTCACGCTTTACCGTAGTTAACTGATCTGCGGATATGAAAACTTGTCCCCGCAAAATGGGTCTGATTCGGGGAATCACTAAAGATCCCCCCCCCCCCCCCCCCGTATGCTGGGTTTACAGTGCAGTTTTTCTGCACTGCAGATATGAAATGTGTGGAATCAAACATTAAAATCAGCTTGTTTTCGCAAGCATTTAAAATGTTCATAAAATCCGTAGGAGGCACTGCTGTTTGCGCCTGGCCACTCAGTAAGATGGCGGCAATCACGTCACGTGCAAAAACTCTTCGAGTTTCCATAGTAATACACATGGCGCGTGTGCACGCGTACGCAAACAATCATGTGTGCACCAAAAGCGGACCCACAAAAATTAAATTTATTTGAAAATCAACTAACAAACAACATGTTTGGGATATCGTTTGAGCAAGGAACTTACCTGAAACGGTCCTCAATTGGCCTTCCGCTTGCGCTTGGCTCTTTGAGGGACAAGTTTGGCGTGCTGAGGAAGCGTGGAGGAAAGGTGAGCCTTCAAGACAGTCCGTAGCTTGTCGACATCGTTCACGACGCCTCCGTGTCGCTTGCGAAGGTCGTTGAACTCGGCGTGAATACTTTCACCTCCCTGCTCAGCTAGTAGGCCCAGGCCAACTCTGAATCTTGCCAAGGCGTCAGGCAGATGGCATTCCAGCAAATGAAGCTTAGGCGTTACATGGCCAAGTTTTCTGGTGACGACCTCTTGCCGTGCTGTGGAGAGGAAGGTAGCGCAATCACTCTCGAACAGCTGAATATCTTCTGCTGACATTGTTGCGCAGAACGAGTATCTTCGGCGGCAGTGAGAGAACTGAGTGAGCAGGTCATTATACCGCTTTGCCACTACTCTGGCCTGGTCGAGAACGGATGGAGGCGCTGCTCTCTCTGTGGTGGAGGCGACAATCAGAGGCGCATTTGACAAAGCAGCAACCACTGGTGGCTGCAGGGCATGGTGAATATGATTGCCGATAAAGGCACCACCATGGTACCGCTGGCGACAAATATTGTACTCCTGCAGAGTTCTGTCCAGTGAGGCCTCACATGGACCATGCAGAATACTGCGGCTCTGGAGCTGGTCAGACAGAGCCTTCACTTCATCCTGGAGAGAGCTGATGGCGCTTGTGGTGGTGTGCTGCTTCGCCTGAATTCCTGCTGTGGCCGCTTCAAGCTGTGGGGCAGTCAGGTTGGAAGCATGGATCGCAAGCCATTCGAGCTGCTCCTGTAGACTGTCAGCTGCTGTGCGCTCGTTCTGAAGATCCAATTGCTTCTGGCGAAGGCTCTCGTGCATCTCTGTTGTGACAGTGTACGCTCGGCTATCGGTGCCAACTGCTGTACTGGATGATGCAAGGGCAACGTCCAGCATCTGGCAGTCCTTGGTCATGGCATCGAATATCCAAGCGAATATTCCCAGATCCAAATGAAGAACGGGAATAATCACATTGTCCAGGGACACAGGCAAGATCGGTGGCCGGATGCAGTTGTTGTGCTTCTTAGCGTCCGCTAATTTTGCACCAGCTGCAACAAAGGCAGCGTTGTCTGTGCACAACAAATCGAGACTGCGCGGTGCTCCGCTACACCCAGGTAGCTGTATCTCTTTCCGCATAGCAGTGCAGGCAAGGGTGGGTTCCACTCGACCCTGACAAGCCGTACAACGTGGTCTGCAGTTCGTAATCTCCGAATAACAAGACCCTCACTGACCTGTTACGCCACGTTGTACTGGCCAGCTTCTCGACCTCACTGACGAATGGCTGCAGGGCCGTGCACAGATTTGCTGCCGTATCTTTAGCAGCAAAGATGATAAACGGAATGATGTGCCGTAGAGCATTGCACTGCTGTACAGTAACGATCTGGAACGACATCTTGAAGGACTCGCCACCGTGATCGCCGCCGATTTTGACCCATACCTCATCTTTTGGGATTGCGCCATCATGCCAGTGAAGCTGATCTGTTGCCTCCAGCTGGTTCAAGTAGTGATGGACAGTCCCAACAAGATCAGGAATTGTCACCATTGCATGCAGCTCGACGCTTCCAGATGCTGCTACGAACGGTGTCTTTTCTGCCACAATGGTAAAGGGCAAAAGATCGTCGAGCTGTTTCCGCATTACCCGCTCTGACTCGAGATACAGGCCAAAGTCCTTCAGCCATACTTTCAATTTCCGGAGCTGATTCCATGGCATGTGTAGGTTGGCTTTCAATGCTAGCGTTGTGCCTGTCCCAGGTGTTTTTGGCATGACACCAGCCTCAATAAGAACAGCTTTACGCTCTTCCTCCTTTAGCCGGCTTAATGTGGCAGCTTGCTGGACAACTGCACCGGCGAAACTCCCTGCTACGCGCTGGCTGGTTTTTTCAAGCTCAGCACAGCGTCGCCGCACAGTCCTGGCTGATGCATTGTTGGACGGTACAGCTGCAACTGTTGTTCGTTGCCATGTCTGCGATGGACCTCGGCTCCTCAACTGAAGTACGCCAGCATCCGCCTTGCTCTTCACTAGATGGCTGGTGAGACTGTCTGACACGTTGCCTCGGAGCTTTGACGGCGAAGCAGTGAGCACATCGCTGACAGCGGTGGACGGGCCGACTGTTTGCTTACCAGTGTTCTCGCAGTTCTGCACATGGCTGGCAAGTTGAGCAAGTGGCACTGTTGCCGGGCAACCAATCAGCGCTCCAGCATAATTGTCACACCTGACCACTAGTTCGGCAAGGCAGCCCTGCAAGATCGGATTGGGCGTGCTGAGATTCGACACGGAGAGCTGTGCATTGCAACCAGGGCATGTTGTATCAGAAGCCAGCCACTCCCACACACATGCGGAACAAAAGCTCTTTCTACAGCAGTCTGCTTCCACGGCTCTCTCTAGCACATTGCTGCATAGTGTACATTGTAATATAGCTTGGCATCCGATGAATCTATCTGTGCTCAGACTCTTGGTGGCTGCATAGCTTGGTGTTGCTACATCATACAATTTCTGTAAACATGTACTCTGACTCTCCGAGTTGATCCCTGTTGTCTGAGACCGTGTCTGGTGGGTGCCTGTGTGCGTAGACGTGCACGTGGATGTAACGGCTGCCGCTGTACGGGCAGGTGGCTTTGTTGTTCTCTTTTTCTTAGCCGGACGACCACCTTTGGCAGCTTGCTCAATGGTAGTGCATACCCTGCATACTGTGGTACCATCCTCATGCACATGATCATGGGGAAGCCAGCTACTTGGCTCGGCACATCCTCCACCACAACGTGTATACTCTGACTTGCTCAAAGCATAATTCACAGCCTTGTAGCATGTACTGCAAATCTGTGTAGGGTGCACGTGTGGTTGGTCCTGTGTGATATCCACTTCAAAACATTTCAGAATACCCTCGGCATTCTCAGAAACAGAATACGTAGTTTTCTGCTTCTGCTTGGCTAGCGGAACACCGCCGACGCGACACAAAAGACCCAGTAATCGAACATGACGATCCATTCTATAGATCTACACGTAAAAACGGAAAAACAGCCAAAAAAGTGCAGGCTTCGTTTCGGTAGTTTAGGTTTCGTTCGGATCGAGTGAGGTGGCAATCGATCGAGAAAGACCTGAGGTCCGACGAGAAACTCACCAAACATGAAAAATAATTTCTGGAACACGAAGGGAAGGGTCTATCAAGAACGGAGATGCTACTCAATCGTGATGACGAGCGACATGAAGTTGTTTCAACAGATCGTGTCAGAACTCAGCTCAACCTTCACCGATCGTCTTCAAATTTTCTGGTGTGGTCTATCATGTTGTAGTCACTCACTGTATGTGGTTCTTGTTCTTCTTTCAAGCGTAGAACAGTCCTAGAAACGCAAGAATGTGACCCGTGTCAGCGAAAAATTGTTTCTGTGAAAATCAAAAATTCAAATTTCCAGGGAGAGTGCGTACGCTCGTACCCAGGACACTGTGGCCAGGATCAGGTCTATGATAACAGCAGTGGAGGCTGGAACCTGTCCAAAGTTTGCTGCCTGCCCAAACCATTGTACAGTTACTAACGGTGCCATGCGTACTTTAGACTAAGGGCGCGTTCGAATTGTCTTCATCAACTGTTCTAACAAATTTTATAAAGAGATTAGTTGAAGTGTCCCATTAGAACGGTTTCTATCATTTTAAAGTTTATCAGTGGAATTGTCATGGCGATGATGGCGTCCGATCAGATCGACCATCTCCATGTACTACGTGACGTAGCTATTCCAAACTCTTCGGAACTAATCCACCTCTCCCATCGGATGAGTTTCGAGGAGCTTCGTTTTTCTGAAGAGGCCAATAAGGCCACCTCTTCAGAAAAACGAAGCTCCTCGAAGAGTCAAAGAGTGACAATTCGAACGCGCCCTTAGATCACTGCCATCCCGGGCCAGTTTTAGCAGTACTTAAGTGTGCGTTTCGAAAGTATACACCTCTAGACTTAACCGAATAATTCAAATTTGGTTTGAGCTTTTGGAGAAATTTCTTCAGGATATTGTTCAGGCAATTCCCCCAATTTTTTCCGTACATTTCTAAGCGATTGAATAACGCACGCCCATTTTCGGAAACTTCATGCGCAAAGCGGTCACAGATTTTGTTTGGTATAGATGCTGGCCTAATGGTTTTTTGAAACCAGACGTCTGGACTTTTCAAATACACTACAGCTGAGTCTGTGCTCTTCTTGCTCTCCGTGTTTGTTTAGGCGTACTCGCATCGAGGAGGGCAAGGAGAAGAAAGAGAAGGAAGTGAAGGAGAAGAAAGAGAAGCAGGCCAAGAAAGAAGAACAGCTCAAGAAGGTTGGTGTGATTCCAGTGTCTGCTCTGCGTGTGTGTCCGTGTGTGTGTATGTGTGTGTGTGTCCGTGTGTGTGTGTGTGCGTGTGTACGTGTCCACTGTGTGTGTGTGCGTGTCCGCTGTGTCGGGAATGGCTCATGCATCCAGGCTGCACGCAGGGTGAAAGGACTTGTTTTTTTGTGTCTGGTGTTTGTATTATCCTGTTGCACAGCTCCTTGTTGGTGTGTTGTGGGTGGGCTAATGTTGCCCTGATATTTCCTTGTGGGTTTGAGAGATACGTCACGCTCATCCAACTTGTGTGTTCGTGTGCGTGTATGTGTGCGTGTGTGTGCCTGTGTTCGTGAGGCCACATCCATGGTCATCCAACTTGTGTGTTCGTGTGCGTGTATGTGTGCGTGTGTGTGCCTGTGTTCGTGATGCCACATTCCATGGTCTGCAGCAACAAAAGCTCATGAAGGATGCCATGGACAGCTTCAAAGGTGAGGTGTGAGGTGCACGTTACGCGGCAATGTTTTAGATGTATCCACACAGTAATCCTTGATCGCGGTTGGGTTCCTACGCATGCGGAAATGGCAGTCCGGCTGACTCATCTGCGAGCCGTAACATCTATTATTTTAGCTGCCAGATTGGATATTTGGTCCGATTTCAGATACAAACGTGCAGCCTAAGCATATACTGTAGTTTCACAAATTTTGGGTGTTTTGTATTTTCAGTGCATTCAGTGTATCTCTTTCATACCTAAAATTTCAATAGCTGTGCAAACAGTAACATGTCTGTTCCCCAAACCTGTTTTTTGGCCCTCATCAGGGAATACTTTACTTTCAATCTTTTGCATTGCAATTTTGCTACGCAAAATCAAACTTGAAAAGCAGTTCCAAAATGTTGCGTAACAATTTTCTTCAACACTTGACAACCGTCCTGCTGGAGAGCTGATCAGAGTGCAAGCTCAGACGACAAGTACAATGTACCTTGTAACACCTTAGTTACAAACCTAGCCTGGTGCCAGGATGCATAGCTCAGCACCTTTTTAAGTTTCGTGCGTCTATTTTATCCCTAAGACACACACCTGGCATGTACACTGTGCATCATAGGGTACAGTGAACAATCAATATGCATCGCAGTTTTCTGTGACACGTTTCTGAAGTTGCTTCGCACCTCAGAAGAATTGCGTAGCAAACTGCGATGCGATACTGGTTAAATTATTCCCTGCTCATGCATTTAATTTTGAAATTTCTGAAATCAGGAGCTTGTCTAGCGGCTGACTTGTTTGCGCTGTGTGTTGTTGTTTTGTTGTTGTTGTTGTTGTTGTCGTTGTTGTTGTTGTTGTCGTTGTTGTTGTTCTCGTTTCAGTGTTCTCCTCCAAGTCTGACAAGGCGCAGGCGACTACCGCGTCGGCAACGGCAGTGCCTGCTGGTCAGAGCAACTCCGGCACAGATGTTCAAGGTGAAGATGCCGATGCCGGCGGTGCAAAGGAGGCCAATGAAGGTACAGTGGTCTCTCTTTCATTCAGCACGGTATCTACAGCACTCTCAATAAACCAGCATAGTTTTCAGTAGCCAATCTGTTCTGGCAGATTTGTGCCATTGTGGTGGCAGTTTTTGCTTTCACCTCGAATCCTTTGATCATTCATTGATGGTATATTTGCTGTAGCTTGTTTCCCTCTTTGTCTCTTCTGTGTGTGGGTGGGTGCCTGTGTGTGGGTGTGCGTCTCTCTCTCTCTCTCTCTCTCTCTCTCTCTCTCTCTCTCTCTCTCTCTCTCTCTCTCTCTCTCTCTCTCTCTCTCTCTCTCTCTCTCTCTCTCTCTCTCTCTCTCCTGTCGCAGAGGATACTCACGCCCAGCGTCGTCCAGCCACCGAGCGGCAGATGGAACGGGAGCGCCAGCTAGCCAAAGACAAGGAAAGGTGAGCTGAGGTCTGCTCTCGTGTGCTCTTCCTCGTTCTCATGTACAGTTTCCTACTCCCATATACCATATTTCCGCAGTAAAGCGCATGAGCGTATACCCGGGCATAAGCGCACCCTCACATACCATCGCATGAGCTTATAGGTGAATCTAATCACGCAACACACTGATGCCACCATGATACCATCTTTACAAGGTCCAATGCACAATTTCCACACTCCATACTGCGAACACAATCACAAGCACATGCGCTTGTATGTGACACCGATCAGCCTGCAAAAATTGCAATTATAGCAAAAACTTGTGTATACATGTATAAAAGGGCATGTTCTTAAATGTGCGTAATCATGGTACACTGTCGTGCAGTCCCCGTCTCTCGTGTTCCTGGAAGTATCTAATTCCATGGCTCTCCCTGGTCTTGTCTGACAGGCGTGATCGTGAAGCAAAGGAGCTGCAGGCGCAGCGAGAAGCCGAACTGCGCGAGCAAAAGCAGCTGAAGTTTCTCGTGAGTACCCACTGCCCTGCTGGCCGTGATGATGGTTGTTGGTGTTGTGTTGTTTTGTCGGGACACCTACTCCTGGTTGATGGTTCCATGCACGAGATGTGTACTTACTGGCTAGTGGGTGTCTGTGTACAGTTTTCTTGGAGACACAAGAATACAATAAGACAGTGAAACCTGTTCAAGACTACCGCTCAAGGGACCATCAAAACGTGGTCTCTGTTACCAGGTGGTCTGCTTATCCAGGGTCATTTGACAGTGGAAGCAGCATCCCTTGATCCTGGCTGCAGTGGTATTCTGGGACAGGTGGTCGCCTTATCCAAGTGGTCGCCATGACAGCTTTTACTGAACTGAGAAGAAGATCACACTTCAGGCTCTTGGACTACACATTGAAAGCTTTCACGAGTGCAGTTTCAAGCCTTGTCAACGTGTGTCTGTGTGTCGGTGCTGGTGCGTATGCGAGGCATTGAGCACTCTAGCAGGTTAAGACGCATTGCCTCTCTATGTGTGTTCACTCGTGCTGGTCGTATGTGTTTGCATGTTGGCAGAACGACATTGAGAATTGCAAGCGTGCATTCCGCCTGATGCCGCTTGGCTTTGATCGATTCCGTCGTCGCTGCTGGTCCTTCCACCCGTCCGTTCTGCCCGGTGTCTTCCTGGAAGATGACTGGTCGCCGGATATGCCTGAAGGTACGGCTGGTGTGTGTGCGTTGGGGGGGGGTGTATGCGTTTGATGGCCCAACTCCATGCTTTGTGCTTGTATGTGGACTGGCAGCTTGAGCTGGATACTAGTATGTGTTCCTGGAAGATAATTGGGCACTGGATATGCCTGAAGGTGCGGTTTGTGTGTTTAGTGGCCCAGCTGCATGCTACATGCTTGTACCGGTATGTGGACTTGCAGCTTGAGCTGGATATGTGTTTCTGGAGGATAATCGGGCGCTGGATATGCCCTCAAGGTGCAGTTTGTGTGTGTTTGATGTCCCGACTGCATGCTTCAGACATAGGTAACCGAAATCGCCTTTCACGGTGCTCCGTAGCGTTAACTGTGAGTTACCTCGACCAGACTACTACCCAAGCTGGCCGACGTTTTGACGTTTTGATGAGGGAAAAGCAAGGTCTGACTGTTCATACGTATGTATGTGTGGTGTGTGCATGTGCACGCATGCGCGCGCGTGTGTGTGTGTGTGTGTGTGTGTGTGTGTGTGTGTGTGCGTTTATATGTTGTAGTGCGTACGCACGGCGAGACCACGCTACAGAGCAGCACAACAACGACCACAACAACGTCGTCAACAACGGTGGGAAACACTTCGTCTGTTTCCTCCGTCGTCGTCGGCGACACAAGCTGCAGCTCTAGTGCCGCTGGCCAGATCACCCTCACTACCAGCAGTTTGGATGCCGCCGGCTCTTCCTCCACCATGGCAGCAGCATCGGCGTCGGCTGACGTTGCTATGGATACTGACGACACAAAGCCCGTCGCCATCAGGTGAGTGAAATTGGAACGTAGAGAGACTTGGTTACTTATTGGCATTCTCGTGGATGAGCTGGAAGGGTCCTTTCTTTCCATGGAGGAATCGTTAATGTGCTGTTGTTTCCACCTTACCAATGTTTTTTAGAAGAAAGGCATTCGAGCTGACAAGCTCGTTCCCATAACTCTGCAACACACTGAACATCGGTTTCACATCAATTAATTTTATTTTTAGTTCCTTCTAAGGCCACACTTTGTTTTCTCTATGTTTCTCGTCGGCAAATTTAAAAAAAAGGTACGCGGGCGGGCGGAAAAAAAACAAAAGCCAAGGAAAAAACAAGAACAATTTCTACTGAAAACTGTATACATTTTTCAATGTACATGTATATGCGTGATTCATACCAGACACTGCGTATACCATGTATACAGTACTACATTGTACAATCACGTACATGTAGTCCCATACATGATTGCACTACATTATCACATCAGCCCACGAATATCAGGCAAACTGCAACAATGAGAGCATAAAGTTTGATTACGACGGATGGCGAAGAGAACATACATTTATCTGCTATCGCATCAACAAACGTTTCCCACTCGTCATTAATTTTGGTTTTGTTACTTCAACGTTCCTGTGTCCGCTTATCAAACTCTTGTCTCCATGCTGCTCATATTTTCCTTGCCATGCGTCTATTGCTTTGATTTTCTGCCTACGACATCGTTCCACAGACGCCAGTTGCAGCGGAACTCGTCCGACTTACGGTATTCCTGGGACCCACGAGGCTCAGGCAGTGAACGACTGAAAGCTTCGTCATGACAGCCTTCATCGCAGAGAACGGACGAGGAGCGCTCCTTTCCTGCTGTGTTGCAAACATTTCTCTATCTACTGTTCTTTCAATCAAATGAACCCCTCGATAGGCACATTGCCTTTGGGTCATTTCATAATAATAATAATAATAATAATTTACGATTTTGATTGACGCATCTAGTTGCTGCAGCATGTGCAGCGCACATACATGTACGTAGTATGAACTTGTTTTTTCTTCCGAAAATTCTGAAATCCTACGCGGGCGATGACGAGAAACATAGAAAAAACAAAGTGTGACCTAAGTTCTAAATGAAACTGCCAGAAGCCTCATTCTTACTTCTGAGCAATGTTCTTGTCGTGCGTATTGTTGTTTTCAGCCAAGCGCCCGCATCAACAGCAGATGGCTCAGTCAACAGTGCCAGTGCCAGCGGTGCTGGTGTTAGTGCTGGCCGATGGCGTGTGTTCCAGTCGGTCGCCCAGTTTGAGCAGTACGTCGACTCCCTGACGCTCACCGGCGCTCGCGAGAAGGCTCTGCGAGAGGTGTTTGAGAAGCAGAAGTCTGCTCTCGTGCTGGCCATCAAGAAGTATGTATAGTATGCTGTAGGTTGGGTACAGTATGGCTTTGTTCTTTTTAGGGCCGAGTCGGGTAGCATTTTCTTCGGGTATCGGGTTCGGGTAGTTTTCCCCGGGTAATGTTTCCATGGTATCACCACAATGCACCCCTTCCCTTACACACTGGGTTGACATGCGGAGTATTACGTGAATTTGTACACGTGCACTGTACATGATGTCATCTGCGACTTCGTGTTTTCGGGTACTATTCTGTACCCATGTTTTCGGGTACTATTCTGTACCCATCTACCCGAAGTCCTCACGGGTAGCACGGGTACCCGACTACCCGAGCACACCCCTAGTTCTTTTGTGTGTCATCAAGAAGTGTGTATGCTGTAGTTTTCATATACGGACTGGTGATTGTGAAGTACATGTAACTACTATTTGGGGTCTTGAGAATAGTCTTGGAATTGTGCGGTCTAGAATCTGTACGAACCCTGTCAGTGCGGCTTTGTTCTTGCCCTGGCTATCAGAAGCACATATGCTGTAGTGTTGTCATGGCGCAGTGTTGTGCGTCACCTTCTTATTCCTGTGTGACTGGTGTGACTGGTCTGTTCTTGTACTTGGCGAACTTGCTTCAAATCAAGGTTCATTTCCACTGTTTGTAGTTTTTGGTTGTGCTGTTGCTGCTGTTGCTGCTGTTCTTGTTGGTCGAGTTGTTGCTGTTTGTTGGTGCTGGTGGTGAACTAGCTCCTGTTGTTGTTGTTGTTGTTGTTGTTGTTGTTGTTGTTGTTGTTGTTGTTGTTGTTGTTGTTGTTGTTGTTGGTGATGGTGTTGTTGTTGTTTCAAAAACATTGTCACGACAGTATTTATTGGCGTTGGTATTGTCTCTATTCATACTGGTGACAGTTATGCTGATGTTGTTTCCCCGTCCTCTTGACCATTTTGGCGGTGTGTGTGTGTGTGTGCGCGCGTGCGTGCGTGTGCGTGCGTGTGTGTGTGCGTGTGTAGATACTCCAGCAATTTCTTGTCCAATGTGGACACGGCCAGTAGTGGTGGTGAAGAGGAGGATGCTGCCAACGCCTCTGGAGATCTGAGCACAAACAAACTGAGGGACTCGTACAAAGAGGTGAGTAAGGGAGAGAGTGAGGGGGAAGGGGGATGCTCGCAAGCGTCTGCATTGGTTGCGAATACTCTTCTCCGGCAATTGCCCGTTGGTGGTCAATGGTGGTTTTTGAATAAACTTGTTGTTTGGGATCAATGGTGTAGCCCCCAACAGTCCTTGGTTGATGACTACTAGTAGTTTTTTCTCCTGATAGTTCACATACACTGCTCTCAAGCAACCTGTTGTCTCTGCCCTGACTTTTTAGACTGCTCTTTTCTCTGTGTGTGTGTGTGTGTGTGTGTGTGTGTGTGTGTGTGTGTGTCTCTCTCTCTCTCTCTCTCTCTCTCTCTCTCTCTCTCTCTCTCTCTCTCTCTCTCTCTCTCTCTCTCTCTCTCTCTCTCTCTCTCTCTCTCTCTCTCTCTCTCTCTCTCTCTCTCTCTCTCTCTCTCTCTCTCTCTGTGTCTCTCTCTCTCTCTCTCCCTCTCTATCTATCTGTCCTGCTGCCTCTGTCCAGGATTTGGTTGAGATAGCACAGCGCCTGTACCGTGGTGGACTGGGAGATCCAGGTGATCTGGAGCTGTTCCAGGCACGCGTTGCAACCACAGATAACATGACGGACATGGTAAGAATGGACGGCGGAGAGAGATCTCTCGCAGGTTTTGATTGCTGGTACCATGAGTACATACATGTAGCCCCCCCCCGCCCCGCTCAGAGTGTGTAACTCCACATAAACCCCCGTCACAACTCGTTTTTAGAATCACGTCACTTCAGTGATGTAATCGTCTCGACTATGCACTGCACTGCATCGCTCTTGCTCGACCTTCAATTTGGAATGCATGTATACATAGTTAATTAAACACTACCGGGTACTGGCTACTAGCACTGTTTCCGCTCTGGATTTGAACTCTTGTTGTTGCTGCTGCTGCTGTTGTTGTTGTTGTTGTTGTTGTTGTTGTTGTTGTTGTTGTTGTTGTTGTTGTTGTTGTTGTTGTTGTTGTTTTTGCAGCGCTCTCTGTTACTTGATGTGTACACAATGATCTGTAGTACATGTACTAGTTACGCACTACAGAGCACTGACTTCTGTTTCCACTCTGGATTTGAACTCTTGTTGTTGTTGCTGCTGCTGGTGTTGTTGTCGGCGGCGTCGGCGTTTAAAAATCTGGATGCTCACGTCATTGTTGTTGTTGTTGTTGCTACAGCGCTCCTTGTTACTTGACGTGTACACAATGATCAACCCTCGCTTCACCCAGGGCATCCTGTGCCCTCCGGATGTGCAGGAGACACACCTGGCCATGGCCAAGGTCGAGGGCAAGGAGAAGGGCTTCAAGATGGTGCCGTGTCGCCTGGCCGAGTGGAAGCAGGCAGTGTCGGCGGCCGGTACTCTCTCTCGCCTCCACCTGCTGCAGGCCATCCTGGACGAGTGCATCCAGTGGCACAAGTCTGCAGAGAATGCCGTGAGTGATGCGCAGACGTGTGTGTGTGCGTGCGTGTGTGTGTGTGTGTGTGTGTGTGTGTGTGTGTGTTCAGACGAATGCATACGACACTTATGGTGTATCAGAAGTACCGTACTCACTTGATTAGAAGCCCCTCTCGAATAAAAGCCCCTCTTGAATAATAGCCCCTCTCGAATAGAAGTCCAGACTACTATTCGCAAAGCATGGGTGACCAGGTAGTGCCATGTATGAAGGTCAAGTGTGCAAAGAACATCTCGTGCATGTTCATATTGGTACATGTCCTGGTCGGCGTAGTGTGTGCAAACTAACTCGGGGCCAAGTTGCTGTGAATATGAAAGTTTTAGAGATTCGATTGGAATACTGGTATGGAATGAAACAATAAAAGCCCCTCTTGAATAGAAGCCTCTTCAAAATTGGGAAAAAAATAGAAGCCCCCGGCTTCTAATCGAGTGAGTACGGTATTCCGGAACTTCTGGCGACGAATATCGGGGTGAAACTCAACTCGTCTGTTTGGCAGTCTTCGTTCTTACCCCCATTGTTTGTGTGTGTGTGTGTGTGTGCGTGTGTGCGTGCGTGTGTGTGTGTGTGTGTGTGTGTGTGTGTTTTGGTTGGTTGGTTGTACGTGCCCATTGTTTTCATCCTCTCAGCGTTGCAAGATCTGCCGTAAGAAGAGCGACGACGTGAACATGCTGCTGTGTGACGACTGCAACCAAGGTTTCCACATCTACTGTCTGCGCCCTGTGCTGCACAAGATACCCTCCGGTCATTGGGCCTGTCCGTCTTGCCAGGTGAGTCTAGGCGTGTAGCTCGTGTGTGGTCTGATCACCACACCCGTGAATGACCGTCATACGTACTGCATAGTCAAAATGGGAAAAATTGCAGCTATGACGTTGCCAGTTTTTTGTACATAGTCACCACACTACAGATGTGCTCTGGCACTTAGTCACCACACCGCAGATGGGCGAGCTACGCCTCCGGAGTGAGTGGCCTGTACTGGGCGTGTAAAGTTGTTTGTTTAGGCCCTCGTCGATGATTGGATAGCGCGTCAAACCTGCCGTAGCTGCAGAACTGAATCGCCGACGGCTCAGGTGGTAACGGGAAGTTCATGCGCATCTTTGGCTGTTGTTACGACATTGTAGCCTCGCGCAATTGAAATTACCTTGGTGATGCGGTAAATGTGAACCAGTGTGGGATGCAGCAAAGTTGAGTGTCCTATGACCTAAGCCGAACAAAACAACTTACTGTGGTCTCTCTTTCTCTCTCCTAGCCATCACCCCTCGTAAAATCCATGTCTTGCGTGTGTTGTGTCTCATTCGTATACAACGTCATCGTGCACATGGTTGAGAGTCGGTTCAGCCAAACTCCTAGCCATCGCCCAATGAAAATGCCATGCCTTACTTGTGTTGTCTCTCGTTTTGTATACAGCCACTGAATGCTCGCCGTACCGCACGTGGTGTGTCTTACAACGAGAACTCCGAGGAGGAGGAAGAAGAGGATAACGATGAAGATGAAGAGGTAGGGCGTGTTGTTGCTGTTGTTTCGAATCTTTATTCTCACGATGGCCTGTGGCCATTAGAATAAGCTGTTGTTGTTGTTTGAATTCTTTTTTCTCACGATGGCACCATCGTCAATAAGAGGTTGTTGTTGTTGTTGTTGTTGTTGTTGTTGTTTGTCCCGGTTATCCGGACACATGACCCACTGGTCTGGCCATTCCCGTTCATTCATCATCTTCAGCCCACTGGGCGGAAGCATTGAAGTAGTGTAAATATGTTCTTAATTGTTGTTGCCCGAGGATTGTCTTGAGCGTAACGCTCTGAGCAGCAGCACGATCCTGTTTCATCTTCCGGGTATGGGCACTTTGCCATCGTTCATTGAGTCCTTTAGGAGCATGGGTATTCCGCTAGCGTGAATGGTTTGTATTTCATACCCAGGAGTTCTGCAGGTTGCAGTACTGCCGGGCGCCGAAGAACTTAGAGCCGAGGAACGAGCAGCCTAGAACTTCACCAAGCACATCATACCAATGTATACACGGTGACTCAACTGTGCATAGACTGTACATCATACCAGTGTATACACGGTGACTCAACTGTGCATAGACTGTACATCATACCAATGTATACACGGTGACTCAACTGTGCATAGACTGTACATCATACCAATGTATACACGGTGACTCAACTGTGCATAGACTGTACATCATACCAATGTATACACGGTGACTCAACTGTGCATAGACTGTACATCATACCAATGTATACACGGTGACTCAACTGTGCATAGACTGTACATCATACCAATGTATACACGGTGACTCAACTGTGCATGGACTGTACATCATACCAATGTATACACGGTGACTCAACTGTGCATAGACTGCAGTAGAGTAAAACCTGTCGAGGCGACCACTCGGATAAGGCGACCACCTGTCCTAGGGGATCACTACAACCAGGACCAAGGGATACGATTTCTAGTCAAATGACCCTGGATAAGGAGACCACCCTGTTTAGAAGAGTATCTCTTTGTCGTTGTTACTATAATCGAGTGGCACATTCGCACTACAATTCTACGGGTGCTAGTTTGAAATTACGTTACGAATTGTTACGTTGTACAGCAGGTACGAAACAATTAATATTTACATACTCACCGGTTTTCGTTTCGGAGTCCCGCGCTGTGACTCAGCTAATTTCTATTTCGTTTGCCTTGTATTGTCTGACTAGGGGCGCTGTCACCCCGTCGGGTGCAAGCACCCTTGGACAGAAGCACTTCACTTCACGACAAGTGTTCATTTTCGTTTTCCTCTTCTGCTTCTGTTGCACAGTTTGAACTTTGAATGTGTGCTTTTTTCGTACTCTGCTCTCGATCGAACCATGCGCGGGTCGATCTCCATTATTTTTATCTTCCGTTGCCATGACTGGCATTAGTACGCGTTCTGTACTCACTCGCTGCTTGGCACGCTTGCAGCGCGTCTTTTTTCTGTTGCAACCCAGTGCCTGCGTGCACGGTACGGGATTTGCGATGCCACATCAGCGTTGGTGTGTCGTTGTGTTTCGTTGTTGTTTTGTTCTTGGCTGAGTGTGGTCGTTAACCCTCTAAGTGCCACGGTCGACGAAAAGAGCCCCTGGCTTGTCACCTGTCAAGTGCCACGGCTGCCGAAATGAGCCCTGTGTACTTCTAGTTTACAGTGCCACGGGCGACGTAGAGAGTCCGACACACTTCTGTGTGGGAATGCCAAGGCTCTATGAAGAGCCCGACGGAGGGGTATTTTTGGACGTGTCCTACAGTACCAGAGGTCTGTAGCTCCGTCCCACGCTTTTGACCTGGCGTTATCCGTGGGTGGAGGTATCTAGTTCAATAGAAAAAACCGGGTGTTCGTATCTATAAAAAGCGAGAAACGCTCGTTCAAAACTCAAACACTTTCGAGTGACAATGGCGACTCAAGGCGCAGCGCGAGAGGTAGAGATGACACAGGAGGAAGTTGACGGTGAAATCCACAGAATCTTTGACGGTGAGTCTGATGAGTCTGAGTTCGAAGGCTTCGATGTCGGCAGTAGCGAAGATGACGATAGCGACCTTCAAGGAAGCGACGAAGACGACGAAGAACAACCGCGAGTGTGGAACTGGCGGACCGTCACGGCTGACAACGACACCGCGGATGCGAGTGCATGGCTGCCGGGAGTAACTCGCCAACGTGGGCCAACGGCACAGGCCGATGAAAACATCTCGCCGGCAGACTGTTTCGCTATGATGTTCACGGATGAAGCCGTGGACATAGCCGTCACGCAAACAAATCTGTATGCGCAGCGAAAACTGGAAGCCCTCGGCGCTCACTTTCCAAGCTCCCGGATGCGCAAGTGGCATGACATCTCGTCACGCGAGATGAAAGTGTTTTTCGTACTCTTGCTCGCCATGAGCATCGTGGAGCAACCAGCGCTGGCAGACCATTGGACGACGGACTGGCTCTACCAGACACCCGGATTTGCCAAGGTTATGTCCAGGAATCGTTTCCAACTGATCCTGTCGTGCCTTCATTTCGTGGATAACACAACCATCGAGTATGACGAGCACGGCAGGTATCGAGACCCTCTCGCCAAGATTCGTAAATTCCTGGACATAATCGTCAAGCGCTTCAGACTGTCCTACTACCCTAAGAGGGATGTGTCTGTGGATGAGCAAATGATTGCGTACAAGGGTCGCCTATCATTCAAACAATATATGCCGGCCAAACCGACCAAGTGGGGCGTGAAAGCATTCGTCCTTGCGGAGCCGGGTACGGGATACATATACGAGTGGACTCTGTACACCGGCAAGGATATGGCCGAGGGCCGAGACGTAGCCATGGCCGACACATCGAAGGGCAGTCAGATAGTGGCGAAATTGGTTCGACACCTCGGCCAAGGGCACGTAGTGTACATGGACAATTATTATTCGTCACCTACCTTATTTCAGTGGCTGTCGTCGCGCCGTGGAATGGGAGCTGTCGGCACAGTGAGAGTCAATCGGAAAGGGCTTCCACCAGCATGTAAGGACAAGAAAAAGAAGGGCACGCCGCCGAGATTCTGGAGAGATGAAACAGTTCTCACATGCTCCTGGCCGGACAAGAAGCAAGTGACAGTTCTCTCGACGATTCACTCTTGTGAAGTTGTCGATGTAGATATTCGCGACCGGCGTGCGCCTCAAGGAGTTCGGTCCGTGAAAAAGCCATCATGCATCGCCAGCTACAACAGTTTGATGGGCGGCGTGGACGAGGCGGATCAGATGCTGAGCTACTACGCATTCCCGCATCGTCACCGCCGTTGGTACCTGATCCTTTTCCATCAGCTGCTGGAAATTTCGGTGCACAACGCAAAAATAATCTACAACGCAATGACAGGCAAAGACCTTGACGGAAAGGAATTCCACAAGGCGCTCATCGCTTCCCTGTTCACTGAAACACAGTGGCCGATTGGTGAACCACGTCGCAGATCTGTACCAGCAACTACTGACGATGTGGACACAGCTCGGCTAACTGAGCGACACTTTTGTACGCAGCTAGCTGTTGAAGGGAAGCGAGACTGCGTTGTGTGCAGCAGACGACCGGACCACCGGAAGCAAACTAGCTGGCAGTGCGTGCAGTGCGTACGCATGATGTGTCCCGGTGAATGCTTCCAGCGCTTTCACACCCTGCACGACTACAGAGTACGGTACGCGGACTAGTGCATAACCTTGCGCTACTGCTGTGAAATTTAGCAACTATCTCCATACCACAAGCAGTTTTTGCTACGTTGTACCGCTGCTGCAAACTAAGTTTGTATGTGCGCATTTCCGTCTTGCTGACTTATTTTCACTTTGACACTGCTGCATTCATTGGCATTACTATTTTTCTGCATGCTGAGCTCTGAAACATGTTGCTGATGATATTCTGAACATATCATGTATACATTATCTTTGAGTAGTAGCAATATATCACCATCACTTGCCGTCCTGAAGTTTATAACTGTAAAATAGCACAATTGCAAAAATCTGCGTGGCACTGAGGGAAGGGTGAGAACCAGCTGACCGTGGCATTCAGAAAGTACTCCTGCTCAGCTGATCGTGGCACTTGACAGGAAAATCTTGTCAACCACTTATGGCACTTAAAGGGTTAAAACTGAGAAAGAACGGGTCGTTGACAAGGCGTGGTTTCGATGTGCATGCCCTCCTGTCAACTCCAAACTATTGGTAGCAGAGGATGGTTATCACGGAGCCATCATGGAGGTAAAACTAGAAGACCTCGCACGGAAAAAGCGAGAGCTGAAAACGGATTTCACAAATACGAGGAGAAATTTGACAGTGGAGTCAACGAATGAGGTGCCGAACCAAGATGACGTAAAGGCATGGAGAAGCCACTTGACGACAGTGTATAACGAGACCAAGAAGGTCATCATGGAATACATGGAAGCGGTGGTGGACACTGACTCTAGGAGACATGCTGGTCTCCAGAAGCAGTACAAGCAGCTGGAAGGCCAGTATTCCGATGCCATGGAATTGGCCAGGAGTGTGCTCATCAGGAGCAGCAGAGCGAGCCTGGCAGCGTCGACCAGGCAGACTCCCAGTCCCAAGCAATCGCCACTGAGAGGGGCAACGCCTTTACTGGCGTCAGTACGAGAGGAAAGCAGAGAAATTCTAGATCTGCGTGCGGCGCTCCAAGATGCACCGTTTCTTGGTCGCCAGCACGATGCGCGGGTGATGTTGCCCAGGGCTGCAGACTATGGAGAACGGGTGAAAGTAGAGCCGGACAGGCGTGTTGTAATGTTCAGTGGTCAGCGTGTGGGGGAACCTGCCGAACCCTTCCCGACCGTTGCCATGGCAACCGCGTCAGCACACGCGCCACCGCAAACGGATATGATCAACAGCAGTGCATGCACCGCTTTATCTGCAGCAGCCGCAGAGTACCAGCCACGTAGTTCAGTGCTGCCAGCGTCATTTGCAACTACGACCACGGGCAGCAACGCTCCCGCTATAAATCAGGAACAAGGCTCTGCCTTCCTGATCCACGATCCTGCTGATCAAACACCTAGTATGATGTATGCAACGTATGGCAACAATAGTGCTAGGCCGCAGCAGGCATACATGTACCAACAACAACAACAACAGCAACCGCAGTGGAGTGCGAGCAATAGTGCAGTCGTGTACAACTCACCTGTGTCTACTGGACCGTCGCACACCATCTCTGCCGGAGCGTCACAGTACGATGCGAGACCCAGCGCTGTCATGCAAGCACCCCGGACCGCAGTATTCGCCCCAGTTCCGACATATGTCGGAGGCACCGCAGCTCGACCTGCGCCACGGACTGCTCCAGCGGCAGCGGCACAGATCAACATCGCCAGCAAGTTGAAGCGGATCGAAATTGCCGTGTTCACCGGAGAGAAGCGAAAATACGAGCGCTGGAAATTCGCTTTCAGCGTTTGTGTGGACCAGCAGCCGCTCTCCGCTGAATTCAAGCTGCTGCAGCTCCGACAGTACGTGGCGGGTGAGGCACTGGATGCCATCGAGAGTCTCGGCTACTCGGCAGCAGCATACGATGCTGCTCTGCGGCGGCTGGAGCGACGCTTCGGTGGGAGTCGCCGGCGCCTTGCGGTTAGGATGGAAGAGCTGGAACGATCTCCACCTATTCGAGCCGGTAGAGCCCAGGACCTGGAGCGTTTTACCGATGTGCTCGACATGGCAGTGGTGACGTTAAAGGATGCCGGTATGCACACCAAGCTAGGTACCGGCATTCTCTACCAGCGGATCCAGCAGAAGCTGCCGGTGAACTTGTTGGCCCAGTATCGCCGCTGGATAGTACACCACCAAAAGGACGAATCGGTCGAGGTGCTGCTGGAGTGGCTAAATGCCGAGGCAGAAGTTCTTGCTGCCGCCACGGAAACTACCGAAGGCATCAGCCAGCAGCATCACGTCAGAAACCAATTGTCAACCAGCGGGACAAGTCGAAATCAGCCGACTCGGACGGCAACTGCTCACGACGCTGTGCAACCGCGCACGACCACGTTCGTGACAGCTACAAACACCGCTGGCAACGTGCCGACCGCAAGGTCCACATGCCAATGCTGCAATGGTGGCGAGCACCCGATCTGGCGCTGCCCAGAGTTTGAGAAACAAACTGTAAGCCAGCGCTGGGCAGCAGCGAAGCGAAGCAAGTCATGCTATAGATGCCTTGCGACTGGGCACAGCGGCAAGGACTGCCCACGGGACCGGGAGTGCGGTATCAACGGGTGCACGCAGCATCACCATCGCCTGCTGCACAGTGAGCCCCGTCAACCGCCTCCAGCGTCGTCAACCCACGCCTCCGGAGAGACTGGAGCCATGCAGCCGGAGAACTTCAGTGCTGTCTCCCTCGGAAACAGCGCGAAGGGAGAGGAGAATAGAGTACGGACGGTGACGTCGATTCGGACAGTTCCCGTTCAGCTATCCAACGGCAAGCGGTCGCTAACTGTTAACGCGCTGCTGGACGACGCCAGCACGCGCTCGTACATAGCGAGCAATGTTACGGCAGAACTCGGCCTGATTGGATCCAGCATGTCGCTGACCATCAGCAAGCTGAATGGACAGCAAGAGACCATTCACACTGTACCAGTATCGTGCACTCTGCGAAGTGTTGACGGAGCCACGTCGACGACTCTCCATGCGTGCACAATCGAGCAGCCAACAGGCAACATGGAAGTTGTAGACTGGCACCACCTGGGAAAGCAGTACGCACATCTAGCCAACGTTGAGTTTCCGCCGCTACCGTCGAAACGCCACATTGACGTGCTCATCGGTGCCGACTATCCGGAGCTTCACATGGCGTATAAAGAGCGCTCGGGTAACAGCCATGAGCCCGTGGCGCGTCGGACGGCATTAGGTTGGACCTGCATCGGCCCAGTCAACCAACCAACGGACGAGTCCATCGAGCTGACTGCGGTGACCGTCGACCAATGCCACAGCGAGCTGAATCGTCTAGAGCCAAGCCGCTATTCCGACTGGGTACGAATGTGCCGTGTTCATGCTTGGTGTGTGCGATTCGCTACGAATTGCTCAGTACCACCCGCACAACGAGAGTTTGACGAATTATCACCACCAGCGATCCGAGACGCTGAGGAGTTCTACATCAAGCGAGCGCAGCAACAGTCGCTACCAGAGTATGCTGCAGTTAAGGCAGGCAAGCCAATCCCTGCAACCAGCAAGCTGGTCTCGCTCAAGCCAATGATTGACGACGCTGGCCTTCTACGCGTCGGAGGTCGACTACAGCATGCAGACTTCTTGACTGCAGAACAACGCAATCCGATCGTCCTACCACGAGGGGATCATGTGACACAGCTGATTGTCAAGGCATGTCACGAACGAGGATATCACGCGTTCGGTGTCAGCCATACGCTAGCCGAACTCTCGTCGCGCTACTGGATCGTCGCTGGCCGCGAAGAGGTGCGAGCTTGGGAAGCCAAGTGTGCGAGGTGCGCCCGGAACCGTACGAAGCCGGCAATGCAGGTGATGGCGCCACTACCTAAGGTCCGAGTCAGCCTGCCGCTACGCGCATTCGGCCGAGTCTCTGTAGACTACGCTGGACCGTTTATGACGAAGCAGGGTCGCGGCAAGACACAACACAAGCGGTACCTGTGCTTGTTCACCTGCTTGCAGACGAGAGCAGTGCATCTCGAGCTGTCATACGCGTTGACAACGGACTCGTTCCTGCAGGCGTACGTACGCTTCACCAATCGACGGGGAGTACCGATCGACGTCATCTCCGACAATGGCACGAATTTCGTCGGCGCCACCAATGAGCTTGCTCAGCTTGTCAAGCAGCTTGATGCAGAGGCGATTCAGCGGCAGACAGCGGATCAGCAGACTAGCTGGCGTTTCAACCCTCCAGCAGCACCACATTTCGGCGGAGTGCATGAGGCGTTAGTAAAATCGGCAAAGCGTGCTATCTCGGCGATTCTGAAGAACGCGGAGGTCACAGATGAAGAGCTATTGTCTGCTGTCGTCGGCGCGGAGGCGCTCATGAACTCACGGCCACTGTCCTACGTGTCGGCAGATGGTCGTGACCCAACTCCGCTAACGCCCAATCATTTCATGTATGGCACGAATTTCGTCGGCGCCACCAATGAGCTTGCTCAGCTTGTCAAGCAGCTTGATGCAGAGGCGATTCAGCGGCAGACAGCGGATCAGCAGACTAGCTGGCGTTTCAACCCTCCAGCAGCACCACATTTCGGCGGAGTTGCCATGACTGGCATTAGTACGCGTTCTGTACTCACTCGCTGCTTGGCACGCTTGCAGCGCGTCTTTTTTCTGTTGCAACCCAGTGCCTGCGTGCACGGTACGGGATTTGCGATGCCACATCAGCGTTGGTGTGTCGTTGTGTTTCGTTGTTGTTTTGTTCTTGGCTGAGTGTGGTCGTTAAAACTGAGAAAGAACGGGTCGTTGACAAGGCGTGGTTTCGATGTGCATGCCCTCCTGTCAACTCCAAACTATTGGTAGCAGAGGATGGTTATCACGGAGCCATCATGGAGGTAAAACTAGAAGACCTCGCACGGAAAAAGCGAGAGCTGAAAACGGATTTCACAAATACGAGGAGAAATTTGACAGTGGAGTCAACGAATGAGGTGCCGAACCAAGATGACGTAAAGGCATGGAGAAGCCACTTGACGACAGTGTATAACGAGACCAAGAAGGTCATCATGGAATACATGGAAGCGGTGGTGGACACTGACTCTAGGAGACATGCTGGTCTCCAGAAGCAGTACAAGCAGCTGGAAGGCCAGTATTCCGATGCCATGGAATTGGCCAGGAGTGTGCTCATCAGGAGCAGCAGAGCGAGCCTGGCAGCGTCGACCAGGCAGACTCCCAGTCCCAAGCAATCGCCACTGAGAGGGGCAACGCCTTTACTGGCGTCAGTACGAGAGGAAAGCAGAGAAATTCTAGATCTGCGTGCGGCGCTCCAAGATGCACCGTTTCTTGGTCGCCAGCACGATGCGCGGGTGATGTTGCCCAGGGCTGCAGACTATGGAGAACGGGTGAAAGTAGAGCCGGACAGGCGTGTTGTAATGTTCAGTGGTCAGCGTGTGGGGGAACCTGCCGAACCCTTCCCGACCGTTGCCATGGCAACCGCGTCAGCACACGCGCCACCGCAAACGGATATGATCAACAGCAGTGCATGCACCGCTTTATCTGCAGCAGCCGCAGAGTACCAGCCACGTAGTTCAGTGCTGCCAGCGTCATTTGCAACTACGACCACGGGCAGCAACGCTCCCGCTATAAATCAGGAACAAGGCTCTGCCTTCCTGATCCACGATCCTGCTGATCAAACACCTAGTATGATGTATGCAACGTATGGCAACAATAGTGCTAGGCCGCAGCAGGCATACATGTACCAACAACAACAACAACAGCAACCGCAGTGGAGTGCGAGCAATAGTGCAGTCGTGTACAACTCACCTGTGTCTACTGGACCGTCGCACACCATCTCTGCCGGAGCGTCACAGTACGATGCGAGACCCAGCGCTGTCATGCAAGCACCCCGGACCGCAGTATTCGCCCCAGTTCCGACATATGTCGGAGGCACCGCAGCTCGACCTGCGCCACGGACTGCTCCAGCGGCAGCGGCACAGATCAACATCGCCAGCAAGTTGAAGCGGATCGAAATTGCCGTGTTCACCGGAGAGAAGCGAAAATACGAGCGCTGGAAATTCGCTTTCAGCGTTTGTGTGGACCAGCAGCCGCTCTCCGCTGAATTCAAGCTGCTGCAGCTCCGACAGTACGTGGCGGGTGAGGCACTGGATGCCATCGAGAGTCTCGGCTACTCGGCAGCAGCATACGATGCTGCTCTGCGGCGGCTGGAGCGACGCTTCGGTGGGAGTCGCCGGCGCCTTGCGGTTAGGATGGAAGAGCTGGAACGATCTCCACCTATTCGAGCCGGTAGAGCCCAGGACCTGGAGCGTTTTACCGATGTGCTCGACATGGCAGTGGTGACGTTAAAGGATGCCGGTATGCACACCGAGCTAGGTACCGGCATTCTCTACCAGCGGATCCAGCAGAAGCTGCCGGTGAACTTGTTGGCCCAGTATCGCCGCTGGATAGTACACCACCAAAAGGACGAATCGGTCGAGGTGCTGCTGGAGTGGCTAAATGCCGAGGCAGAAGTTCTTGCTGCCGCCACGGAAACTATCGAAGGCATCAGCCAGCAGCATCACGTCAGAAACCAATTGTCAACCAGCGGGACAAGTCGAAATCAGCCGACTCGGACGGCAACTGCTCACGACGCTGTGCAACCGCGCACGACCACGTTCGTGACAGCTACAAACACCGCTGGCAACGTGCCGACCGCAAGGTCCACATGCCAATGCTGCAATGGTGGCGAGCACCCGATCTGGCGCTGCCCAGAGTTTGAGAAACAAACTGTAAGCCAGCGCTGGGCAGCAGCGAAGCGAAGCAAGTCATGCTATAGATGCCTTGCGACTGGGCACAGCGGCAAGGACTGCCCACGGGACCGGGAGTGCGGTATCAACGGGTGCACGCAGCATCACCATCGCCTGCTGCACAGTGAGCCCCGTCAACCGCCTCCAGCGTCGTCAACCCACGCCTCCGGAGAGACTGGAGCCATGCAGCCGGAGAACTTCAGTGCTGTCTCCCTCGGAAACAGCACGAAGGGAGAGGAGAATAGAGTACGGACGGTGACGTCGATTCGGACAGTTCCCGTTCAGCTATCCAACGGCAAGCGGTCGCTAACTGTTAACGCGCTGCTGGACGACGCCAGCACGCGCTCGTACATAGCGAGCAATGTTACGGCAGAACTCGGCCTGATTGGATCCAGCATGTCGCTGACCATCAGCAAGCTGAATGGACAGCAAGAGACCATTCACACTGTACCAGTATCGTGCACTCTGCGAAGTGTTGACGGAGCCACGTCGACGACTCTCCATGCGTGCACAATCGAGCAGCCAACAGGCAACATGGAAGTTGTAGACTGGCACCACCTGGGAAAGCAGTACGCACATCTAGCCAACGTTGAGTTTCCGCCGCTACCGTCGAAACGCCACATTGACGTGCTCATCGGTGCCGACTATCCGGAGCTTCACATGGCGTATGAAGAGCGCTCGGGTAACAGCCATGAGCCCGTGGCGCGTCGGACGGCATTAGGTTGGACCTGCATCGGCCCAGTCAACCAACCAACGGACGAGTCCATCGAGCTGACTGCGGTGACCGTCGACCAATGCCACAGCGAGCTGAATCGTCTAGAGCCAAGCCGCTATTCCGACTGGGTACGAATGTGCCGTGTTCATGCTTGGTGTGTGCGATTCGCTACGAATTGCTCAGTACCACCCGCACAACGAGAGTTTGACGAATTATCACCACCAGCGATCCGAGACGCTGAGGAGTTCTACATCAAGCGAGCGCAGCAACAGTCGCTACCAGAGTATGCTGCAGTTAAGGCAGGCAAGCCGATCCCTGCAACCAGCAAGCTGGTCTCGCTCAAGCCAATTATTGACGACGCTGGCCTTCTACGCGTCGGAGGTCGACTACAGCATGCAGACTTCTTGACTGCAGAACAACGCAATCCGATCGTCCTACCACGAGGGGATCATGTGACACAGCTGATTGTCAAGGCATGTCACGAACGAGGATATCACGCGTTCGGTGTCAGCCATACGCTAGCCGAACTCTCGTCGCGCTACTGGATCGTCGCTGGCCGCGAAGAGGTGCGAGCTTGGGAAGCCAAGTGTGCGAGGTGCGCCCGGAACCGTACGAAGCCGGCAATGCAGGTGATGGCGCCACTACCTAAGGTCCGAGTCAGCCTGCCGCTACGCGCATTCGGCCGAGTCTCTGTAGACTACGCTGGACCGTTTATGACGAAGCAGGGTCGCGGCAAGACACAACACAAGCGGTACCTGTGCTTGTTCACCTGCTTGCAGACGAGAGCAGTGCATCTCGAGCTGTCATACGCGTTGACAACGGACTCGTTCCTGCAGGCGTACGTACGCTTCACCAATCGACGGGGAGTACCGATCGACGTCATCTCCGACAATGGCACGAATTTCGTCGGCGCCACCAATGAGCTTGCTCAGCTTGTCAAGCAGCTTGATGCAGAGGCGATTCAGCGGCAGACAGCGGATCAGCAGACTAGCTGGCGTTTCAACCCTCCAGCAGCACCACATTTCGGCGGAGTGCATGAGGCGTTAGTAAAATCGGCAAAGCGTGCTATCTCGGCGATTCTGAAGAACGCGGAGGTCACAGATGAAGAGCTATTGTCTGCTATCGTCGGCGCGGAGGCGCTCATGAACTCACGGCCACTGTCCTACGTGTCGGCAGATGGTCGTGACCCAACTCCGCTAACGCCCAATCATTTCATGTATGGCCAAATCGGTACTCGGTTCGCACCTGCAGGAGTGGACGAGAGCGAGTTCAACCCTCGGCAACGCTGGCGTGTAGTGCAAGAACTCGTGCTGCACTTTTGGCGGAGATGGATGCAGGAAGTCGTGCCAGAGCTGAACCGGCGACTCAAGTGGAGGACGGCCGAGACAGACCTCAAGGTCGACGACATCGTTCTAGTGACATCCCAAGACAACCCACGGGGCACTTGGCCAATGGGTCGCGTCACCGAAGTGCACCCTGGTCCAGACGGACACGTGCGAGTTGTGAAGGTCAAGGTGGGCGACAAGACCTACACCCGCCCAATCGTGCGTCTTTGTAAGCTGTTCTGTGAGTAGCTCCTTGTTTGCCTATTTCAGAACAATAATCAATTTCGAATTTTTTGGTCACTGTGAATTTCGGCACAGTGAGAAGGGAGAGAAATGTTTAGAAGAGTATCTCTTTGTCGTTGTTACTATAATCGAGTGGCACATTCGCACTACAATTCTACGGGTGCTAGTTTGAAATTACGTTACGAATTGTTACGTTGTACAGCAGGTACGAAACAATTAATATTTACATACTCACCGGTTTTCGTTTCGGAGTCCCGCGCTGTGACTCAGCTAATTTCTATTTCGTTTGCCTTGTATTGTCTGACTAGGGGCGCTGTCACCCCGTCGGGTGCAAGCACCCTTGGACAGAAGCACTTCACTTCACGACAAGTGTTCATTTTCGTTTTCCTCTTCTGCTTCTGTTGCACAGTTTGAACTTTGAATGTGTGCTTTTTTCGTACTCTGCTCTCGATCGAACCATGCGCGGGTCGATCTCCATTATTTTTATCTTCCGTTGCCATGACTGGCATTAGTACGCGTTCTGTACTCACTCGCTGCTTGGCACGCTTGCAGCGCGTCTTTTTTCTGTTGCAACCCAGTGCCTGCGTGCACGGTACGGGATTTGCGATGCCACATCAGCGTTGGTGTGTCGTTGTGTTTCGTTGTTGTTTTGTTCTTGGCTGAGTGTGGTCGTTAAAACTGAGACAGAACGGGTCGTTGACAAGGCGTGGTTTCGATGTGCATGCCCTCCTGTCAACTCCAAACTACACCCGGTAACAGCGACCACATTTTGAAGGTCCCTTGAGCGGTCGTCTTAGACAGCTTACACTGTACATGAAAATAGGAACGGTCTAGGCTAGGAGGCTGACCCCCCCCCCCCCCCCCCCCCCCCCAGTTCTCCGGCGCCCGACAGTACGGTACACCGTTCGTTTCACTTGTCCTGCTGCTCTCTGGCTGATTCCGTCATCTATCAATTTTGGCCGCTGCAGGAAGAGGAGTCTGCCGAGTCCGACTCTGACGAATCAGGCGCCGAGGAAGAGGAGGGCGGTGAAGAGGTGGAGGCTGAAGAAGAGAGCGACGCTAATGAGGACGCATGCACAACATGCGGTGCGGCTGGTGAGCTCCTGTGCTGCGACACGTGCCCGCGTGTTTATCACCTCGAGTGTCATGTCCCACCGCTGCGACGAGCTCCTCGGTAAGTTTTGAAAGCAGCTGATTATCCATGCATTCATACATCCACACATACATCCATACATCCATCCACGCGAATGACTCATCATAGTACATTTGCTGCTCAGAAGTCAGTAAAATATTATAACTTTTGCCACTCAGAAGTCAATATAATAATTATAACTTTTGCCACTCAGAAGTATAAATTATCCCTTTTGCCACTCAGAAGTCAATAAAATATCACTTTTGCCACTCAGCTGGCTTCAATAGTAGGGCTTTTAGAGTATCTGGGTACACATCTGTCTTCCTTTATGGCAGTGTTCTTCCTTTATGGCAGTGCTCTTCCTTTATGACAGTGTTTTTTCTTTATGGCAGTGCTCTTCCTTTATGACAGTGTTTTTTTCTTTATGGCAGTGTATGGTGTAATCGCTAACCTCGCCATACATTCATACATCCATTCATACATCCATTCGTACATCCATTCATACATCCATTCATACATCCATTCATACATCCATTCATACATCCATTCATACATCCATTCATACATCCATTCATACATCCATTCATACATCCATTCATACATCCATTCATACATCCATTCATACATCCATTCATACATCCATTCATACATCCATTCATACATCCATTCATACATCCATTCATACATCCATTCATACATCCATTCATACATCCATTCATACATCCATTCATACATCCATTCGTACATCCATTCATACATCCATTCATACATCCATTCATACATCCATTCATACATCCATTCATACATCCATTCATACATCCATTCATACATCCATTCATACATCCATTCATACATCCATTCATACATCCATTCGTACATCCATTCATACATCCATTCATACATCCATTCATACATCCATTCGTACATCCATTCATACATCCATTCATACATCCATTCATACATCCATTCATACATCCATTCATACATCCATTCGTACATCCATTCATACATCCATTCATACATCCATTCATACATCCATTCATACATCCATTCGTACATCCGTAATTACTGTAAATCAACAAACTTTGGCCGATCTCGAAATGAAACTGTTGGCCGTAATCAAACTTAGGCCGATTGGGGTTCAATCTTGCATCTTTTGCCTCTATGACAAACTTTGGCCTGCGATTTACTTTGGCCGGTTGGCACCAAGCGGCGAAATCAGCGAAATTAAATCGCCAGCGAACATTAGTTGATTCACGGTATATCCACGCATCTATTCATCCGAGTTGCAGCAAGCGAGTCTTCTTGTGCGGGTATTGAGCACTGTGTGAGCAGTGGAAGTGCGGGTATTGAGCACTGTGTGAGCGGTGGAAGTGCGGGTATTGAGCACGGTGTGAGCAGTGGAAGTGCGGGTATTGAGCACGGTGTGAGCGGTGGAAGTGCGGGTATTGAGCACTGTGTGAGCGGTGGAAGTGCGGGTATTGAGCACGGTGTGAGCGGTGGAAGTGCGGGTATTGAGCATGGTGTGAGCGGTGGAAGTGCGGGTATTGAGCACGGTGTGAGCAGTGGAAGTGCGGGTATTGAGCACGGTGTGAGCAGTGGAAGTGCGGGTATTCAGCACTGTATGTGCGGCTGCTGCTGCTGTTGTTGCTACTGCTGCTGTATGACGTCTTTATGCTCACGTTGTTGTCGTCGTCGTTGTGTTCTTGTTCTTGTGTTGTTTGTGTTCCAGTGGCAAGTTTGTATGTTATCTGTGTAAGAACCCACGCCTGGCCACGGGTAGAGCACGCTTGGCCGCCAGTAGATCACGCTCTCAGACTAAGAGCTCTCGCCAGGGATCTCGCAGCCGTACAGCGTCTGCGTCCAAGAGTGAGTTTTCTCGTGTATCGCCGTTGTACTAACGAACAAATGCCATGTGTTCCGTCGCCCTTTTTCTTTATTCTCACATTGTTGTTGCTGATACACACATACAACACTTAGTTCTCATGCCCTTGTTTTGTGCACGCTTTCGTGAGAAATTACACCTTGTTATTTTAGTCATTGTGTCCTCTTTGCCCTACCTTGCTTGAACCTGCTTTCAGGCGTAAAAACCCTGTTGTAGAGGTCTCAGTCCTCTTATGTGAGGCTTACCTGTCTTTATAAATGTAGCTCACTCTCTCTTTTTCTCATCTCCCCTCTCTCTCCCTCTCTCTCTCTCTCTCTCTCTCTCTCTCTTTCTCTCTCTCTCTCTCTCTCTCTCTCTCTCTCTCTCTCTCTCTCTCTCTCTCTCTCTCTCTCTCTCGTGAGTCCTCCCTTTCTGGCCCCCTTCACCACCACTCACACACTCTCTCTCTCTCTCACTCTCTGGGCCGTGTCTTCTGTCCAGAATCTCCTAGTGGTCGTCGTGGTAGTCGTCGTCGTGTCTACGAGTCTGAGGAGAGCAACAACGACGATGATGACGCCGACCAGACTGCTGATGGCAGCCACGAGGAAGAAGAGGACGAAGAAGTGGAGGACACTAGGTCACGTCGTGGTGCCGCTTCAGGACGCAGGAGAGCTGTTATCCAGGTCAGTAAGGGGTCATTGGCACTCATTGCAAAACGTTCTTTGTTGTCCCTGAAGCGAACATCATTCATTGGGGGGGGGGGGGGGTGCGAGCGAAAATTGCAAGTCGACTGACACTGTACATATACGTGTACATGCATGCGATTTTCGTCGTCCAGCATAGCAAGCTGCGTTCATTTCAGAGGGAGATGGGGTCGGAGTACGAGGTGAACGATGTTCGTTTCCGGGACGACAAAACGCTCTTGCGACGACCCCTATAAAAGAATATGTCAGAAGCCATTGAACAGCGCTGGCACCCTGTGTGCAGCCAGAGTCTGCAAAATTCAAGTTTGTGGCACTGTTCACTGTGCACTGTACAATCATAACCATCACAGCAACACACACTAGTAAGCGATGTTGCTTTTGTCCACTGGCACACGTGGTGGTTTTGAGACAGTGCAGGTACGGGTGCAGGCAAGTGATGTTGTTTGTGAATCGTGATGGTTTGTTCGGATACTGTCTGTACTGGCTGCCGTTGTCGTAATTCCTGCTTCTCCCCTCCCGACCGCAGTAGAGTACTCTATGCCATCACAGTTAGCTGAAACCTTCGTCGTATCTGACATAGCTTGTTTGCGATTGTGTGTGTGTGTGTGCGTGCGTGTGTGTGCGTGCGTGTGTGCTTGTGTTGTGCGTGTATTCCTTCATGCGTATGTGCGTACAGTCCAACTCTGAGGAGAGTGACAACGACGGAGATGAAGAGGAGGATGACGATGAAGAAGAGGAGATTGAGGAGGCTAGTGACAATACGGATACGGAGGTGCAGCAGCCTGCCCGTCGCTCAGCCAGTGGCGGCAGCAGATCTGCTAAACGCACCACCCTCCAGTCAAAGACCAACAAGTCTAAGCGACCTGGTACGCGGAACCGACCACGTTTCTGTGTTGGGCTTCAGAGTTTCGATTGGCGTTGTCTTCGTGTGTGTATGGGGGGGGGGGGGGGGTCACTGCCACTGGCCAGAAAGATCCACTTGAAATAGCTGTGTGTTTTAGACCAGCCTGAATAGTGGTGGTCAATTCTTCAGCCTTGCAAACTGTTGAATGGTGCAATCCCAGCACAAGTCGTGCTATGGCTTCTGCTGTAGCGTCGCTATCATCGCCTCTGGCGGTGGGCGTCAAAAGGTGTGTGTGTCTATGTGTGCGTGTGTGTCTATGTTTTGGCTGTCTTTTCAGGATCCAGTTTGAGTTCGCGTGCCCCACCTGCCAAGCGTAGAGTGCGGCAACGTGTGATGGACAGTGATGACGAACGACCATCACCGTCATCAGCTACTGGGACTTCTCGACGCGGTGGCCGTGACTCGCACAATCTCAAGGTGTGTGTGTGTTTGTGTGCGTGTTTGTGTGTGTGTGTGTGTGTGTGTGTGTGTTTGTGCATGTGTGTGTGCACGTGTGTGTGTGTGTGTGTGTGTGTGTGTGTGTGACTGTACGTGCATGGGTTGGTGTGTGTGTGTACGTGTGTGTGTGTGAGAGAGAGAGAGTGTGTGGTGTGTTAGAGAGTGGTCGAGTGTGTTTTGTGTTTACTCTGACCAGTGGAGTGTTTTGTTGCCGCTCATAATAAACTTGTTATTTTATGCCCGTTGCCACAGACATCCATACTGTACCTGGGAATATGTCGAAACTCAATTTGCTGTCACGGTTTCTTCATGTCTGATTCGTTTGTGTGTGTGTGTGCATGTGTATGTGTGTGTGTGTGTGCGTACGTATGTGTGTGTGTACGTCTGTATGTCTGTACGTGTATATGTGTGTGTGTGTGTTCCATGCGTCCACGGTATACACAGGAGATTGCTGGTATAATCAACAGTGTGATTGCGCACGGAGACGCCGAACCGTTCGCTCTGCCAGTCAGCCTGAAGGATGTACGTACCTTTTACCTACATATTTGTACTGTTTCGGATACAGCCAACTTCGCGTACAACGACACTCGGCGGGGCATCAGAAAAGTGTTCATCAATTCGCGAAGTGTCCTTATACCCGAAGTCTCATTATATGTATTACAGTTAGACTTTGCTCTGGGCATGGATATTCTGTCATTATTCGCGAATTGTCGTTATATCCGCAGTCGTTATTCGCAAAGTTGACTGTAGTTGCCATGGTTGGCTACCGCGCTTCATTTCACATTCATTTGTTATCGGCATTGGTTTGAAGAGCCAGGAAATGTTGAAAGCAATACAAGTACATAAAACCTGTAACAAAAGACCACCGTGACTAGCTACCAGCCTGGTACTACAGACCACTTCGCCAGGCACGGACGGTCTAACATTCATCAAGAGTAATAAACAAGAGTGTGCAACTCGCGGATGGGTAGGCCCATGGCGGAATTTTTGTTGGCGGAATATTTTCGACGACGCACGCGCTGCGTGTCTTTTGGAAAGTTTTCCTCGTGCACTTGGCCGGGCTTTACACTACAAGGTCGGTGCCCAGCACGTGCTCTCACGTTGCTCTGCGGCAAAATGCGCGTTTCTCTGAAAAAAGGTGACGTCAACAAAAAATTCCGCCGTGGGCGGGGGTATCTGCAGATTGTGCAGGAGAGATCCGGAGTTGCACACTCTTGTTTATCTACTCTTGTTATTAGTATAGTTGTGCAGTGCAAGCCTCTAACTAAGGACCACCTGCCACTAACGACCGCTTTCTCTGGCCCCAAGGGGTGGTGGTCCTTAGTCACAGGCTTTACTCTACTAGTAGATCGTCGACACAAAGTGTCAGCGCATGACCAACCCTAGTCCATGTTTCCTCTCCGACGAGTATCTGTGTGTTGATTGCTGATGTTCTGGCCGGTGTTGGTAATACAAGCTAAACGCCGTCGTCTCTTTTTTCCCCGGAGACTTTTGCACGTCGTTCTCCACCGTCCACGCAAGCGGCAGAGCTATGTTAGATACTGTAAAACGTGTAATTTCAGGCAAAATAAAATTACGCTGCCGGGGACCT